GAGATCCTCCATCACTTTCGCTCTTCAGGATGGAGATAGAAGGGAAGCTCTCCACCCTTGGGGGGGTCCTCAGCGAACTGTCCCTCTGCATCTGGTTAAGGTGACACTTTGTTGGACACACAAGTCCTACAGAGGTCAACGGAGTCACTGATAACAGAGGGGCCCCTGAGGGGCAACAGGAAACCAGGTGGCCTGTTTAAGTGGCGAGGAGGATGGAAGTGCCTCGGGGAGGAGAGATAGAGGAGGACAGGTGGAGAGGAAGGAGGACAACAATAGGCGAGGCGCTCAGCCATGCCACACCTTCCCGTCTGCTCTGACCCACCACAACCCACCACTCAAGAGGGTCACATATCGTGTCCTACCATTCCCTAGCAATGGGGGGCTGCAGTTGTTTTCTTTTTTAGTTTTTTTTTTGTTTTTTACCCTTTTTTTTTGCCTTTTCCTGAAAAATGAACAAGTATCCTGACCCCCCCCCCCCCAATCCAGACCTTAATGCCCCCGTGCTGCAGGTGTAGTGGTCCCCCCGTGCTGCGGGTGAAGTGGTCCCCCCGTGCTGCAGGTGAAGTGGTCCCCCCGTGCTGCAGGTGAAGTGGTCCCCCTGTGCTGCAGATGTAGTGGTCCCCCCCGTGCTGCGGGTGTAGTGGTCCCCCCCGTGCTGAGGGTGAAGTGGTCCCCCCGTGCTGAGGGTGAAGTGGTCCCCCCCCCCCGTGCTGAGGGTGTAGTGGTCCCCCCCCCCGTGCTGCAGGTGTAGTGGTCCGTACGCCGCAATACAAAACCCCCGGAGTGAGTATGGGTCATAATGATTGCGTTGACCAATGAGAAGCACGTCTGAGGATTCCTTTCCAGTAAAGTGGCATCACGGTCTGGAGGGGTGGCCAACATATTTGGAGTTCGCCTTTTTTTTTTTTTTTAACCATTCCTTTGTATCAAAAGCCACACACCCCCCAATACCAACCCCTCCCCCAAATCCTCTATTACCACCCCCCACTACCACCCAGGCTGCTCCCCACCACCCCATCTTCCCTAACCTGCACCCCCATCCTCCCCCCTGCTGGGGCTGTGTCTCCTCCCCAGGTTGTGGCCCTTGTAGAGTGGGGCAGTGAAGTGGTGGATGAGGTCGGTGTGCAGGGACTTACCTCCTTGTAGCAGGGCCAGCACGGTGCCGTGGTCGTTAGCCAGGACGGCGTAGTGCAGGGCGGTGCTGCCCCGGAAGCTGGCCCGAGTATTAAGCCGATTGCTGAACTCGTCTTCCCGAACCACAAACACTGCAGGGAGAGGAGAGAGAAAACGTCACCGAATGAGGACGGACATGACTCCAAAATGTAACACATTGTATCCCACCTGTCCTTGTATGTGGCGCTGCATTAGTCTTCCTTTCAGGCTTTTCCCCCGGTGATCCTGCCAGTAACACACCTCCTGTCCTAGTGTGACAACGTTCCCTCTAGGAAGTGGCAGCAGCGTTGTCACCCTACACTACAGCTACAGATCAGTGATCTCTGTACAGCGCTGCGGTATATGTCAGAGCTATATAACTGTATAATAGTGTTTGTACCAGAGGAGCTTACACTCTAATGTCCCCTCCCCCACAGTCACATCATATCTGTACCAGAGGAGCTTAGACACTAATGTCCCCTCCCCCGCAGTCCCATCAGTCTCTGTACAGAGGAGCTTACACTCTAATGTCCCCTCCCCCCCACAGTCACATCAGTCTCTACCAGAGGAGCTTACACTCTAATGTCCCCTCCCCCACAGTCACATCAGTCTCTGTACCGGAGGAGCTTACGCTCTAATGCCCCCTCCCCCGCAGTCACATCAGTCTCTGTACCAGAGGAGCTTACACTCTAATGTCCCCTCCCCCACAGTCCCATCAGTCTCTGTACAGAGGAGCTTACGCTCTAATGTCCCCTCCCCCCCCACAGTCACATCAGTCTCTGTACCGGAGGAGCTTACGCTCTAATGTCCCCTCCCCCACAGTCACATCAGTCTCTGTACCGAGGAGCTTACGCTCTAATGTCCCCTCCCCTACAGTCACATCAGTCTCTGTACCGGAGGAGCTTACGCTCTAATGTCCCCTCCCCCACAGTCCCATCAGTCTCTGTACCAGAGGAGCTTACACTCTAATGTCCCCTCCCCCACAGTCACATCAGTCTCTGTACCAGAGGAGCTTACACTCTAATGTCCCCTCCCCCCCACAGTCACATCAGTCTCTGTACCGGAGGAGCTTACGCTCTAATGTCCCCTCCCCCACAGTCCCATCAAGTCTCTGTACCAGAGGAGCTTACACTCTAATGTCCCCTCCCCCACAGTCACATCAGTCTCTGTACCAGAGGAGCTTACACTCTAATGTCCCCTCCCCCCACAGTCCCATCAGTCTCTGTACAGAGAGAGCTTACGCTCTAATGTCCCCTCCCCACAGTCCCATCAAGTCTCTGTACCAGAGGAGCTTACACCCCCTCCCCCACAGTCACATCAGTCTCTGTACAGAGGAGCTTACACTCTAATGTCCCCTCCCCCACAGTCACATCAGTCTCTGTACAGAGGAGCTTACACTCTAGTGTCCCCTCCCCCACAGTCACATCAGTCTCTGTACATTGGACTGTGGGGGAGGGGACATTAGAGTGTAAGCTCCTCTGGTACAGAGACTGATGGGACTGTGGGGGGAGGGACATTAGAGTGTCAGCTCCTCTGGTACAGAGACTGGTGTGACTGTGGGGGAGGGGACATTAGAGTGTAAGCTTCTCTGTACAGAGACTGATGTGACTGTGGGGGGGGGGGAGGGGACATTAGAGTGTAAGCTCCTCTGGTACAGAGACTGGTGTGACTGTGGGGGAGGGGACATTAGAGTGTAAGCTCCTCTGGTACAGAGACTGGTGTGACTGTGGGGGAGGGGACATTAGAGTGTAAGCTCCTCTGGTACAGAGACTGGTGTGACTGTGGGGGAGGGGACATTAGAGTGTAAGCTCCTCTGTACAGAGACTGATGTGACTGTGGGGGAGGGGACATTAGAGTGTAAGCTCCTCTGGTACAGAGACTGGTGTGACTGTGGGGGAGGGGACATTAGAGTGTAAGCTCCTCTGGTACAGAGACTGGTGTGACTGTGGGGGAGGGGACATTAGAGTGTCAGCACACACAGCCCGGTCGGACGCACAGAACATTATGGGGTGATTAGCAGTGGAAGAATCCATTACATCTCTGCCTGGAGGGTGGTTGCACTCTGACCCGTCACCCAGCAGGTCAAACGCTCCGACACCAGAGAACAGCGGAAGAAGTGTCGCCTCTTAACCCCGGTGTCACCCGCCATGAATGCAGGACACAGATCATGTACACGGGACGGTGACATGTTAATAAACCCGAGAACATGAAGGATGAGAGGGCGCCGGCCTCAGGATTCTCCTCTTTTGTGTGGAGCTGAAGGATAAATGGGAAAATTGACAGATTTTATATTATAGATCTGGAGGGGGATTTGCTTGGAGGCGGCGATTACCATCCGTATTAGAGACCACCCGTGTCCTCCTCACCGTCCATCCACCACCCCACTGTCCAGGATCACTATATAGAGGAACTCCGACTAGAACACAGGGCATAGCCAATGAATGCCTTACTGGAATTAGAGTCATTCCACCCATTATGAGGGGTTCCCACCATCCCTGTGCTGAGTTCCTGGGTCTGTAAACCGGCTGTGCAGAAGAGATCCACTATATTGCCCCAAGTATTGGTCGGCCGGCCTTTCCACGCACATGACCTTTACTGGCCCCCCAGTCTTAGTCCGTAGGGTTCAATATTGAGTTGGCCCCGCCCTTTCCACACACATGACCTTTAATGACCTCCCAGTCTTAGTCCGTAGGGTTCAATATTGGGTTGGCCCCGCCCTTTCCACACACATGACCTTTAATGTCCCCCCACTCTTAGTCCATAGGGTTCAATATTGAGTTGGCCCCGCCCTTTCCACACACATGACCTTTAACCCCCCAGTCGTAGTCCGTAGGGTTCAATATTGAGTTGGCCCCGCCCTTTGCAGCTATAACGGCTTCAACTCTTCTGGGCCGTCCACAAGGTTTAGGAGGGTGTCTATGGGAAGGTTGGACCATTCTTCCAGAAGCACATTTGTCAGGTCAGGCACTGATGTCGGGGGAGGAGGCCTGGCTCGCAGTCTCCGCTCTAATTCATCCCAAAGGTGTTCTATGGGGTTGAGGTCAGGACTCTGTGCAGGACAGTCAAGTTCCTCCACCGCAAACTGGCTCCTCCATGTCTTTATGGACTTTGCTTTGGGCACTGGTGCGCAGTCATGTTGGAACAGGAAGGGGCCATCCCCAAACTCTTCCCACAAAGTTGTCCAAAATGTCGCCTTAAGAATTCCCTTCACTGGAACTAGGGGGCCAAGCGCAACCCCTGAAAAACACCACCACCGCACCATAATCCCCTCTCAACCAAACTTTACACTTGGCACAATGCCGTCAGGCAAGTACCGTTCTCCTGGCCACCGCCAAACCCAGACATGTCCATCGGATTGCCAGACAGAGAAGTGTGATTGGTCACTCCAGAGAACATGCCTCCCCTGCTCTAGAGTCCAGTGGCGGCGTGCTTTACACCACAGCATCCGACGCTTTGCATTGCACTTGGTGATGGAAGGCTTGGATGCAGCTGCTCGGCCATGGAAACCCATTCCATGAAGCTCTCTACGCACTGTTGTTGGGCTCATCTGAAGGCCACACCAAGTTTGGAGGTCTTTAGCTATTGACTCTGCAGACAGTTGGTGACTTCTGAGCACTGTGCGCTTCAGCATGCGCTGACCCCGCCCTGTCATGTGACGTGGCCTACCACTTGGTGGCTGAGTTGCTGTTGTTCCCAGTTGCTTCCACTTTGTTATAATCCCACTAACAGTTGAGCGTGGAATATTTAGTAGCCAGGAAATGTCACGGATGGACTTATTGCCCAGGTGGCCACCTATCACGGGACCACGCTTGGAGTCACTGAGCTCCTGAGAGCGACCCATTCTTTCACCAATGTTTGTAGAAGCCGTCTGCATGCCTAGGGGATTGATTGTATACACCTGTGTCCATGGAGGGGATTGGAGCACCTGAATCACATGATCTGGAGGGGATTGGAACACCTGAATCAGATGATATGGAGGGGATTGGAACACCTGAATCACATAATATGGAGGGGATTGGAACACCTGAATCACATGATATGGAGGGGATTGGAACACCTGAATCACATGATGATTGGAACACCTGAATCACATAATATGAAGGGGATTGGAACACCTGAATCACATGATTGGGAGGGGATTGGAACACCTGAATCACTTGATTGGAGGGGATTGGAACACACATGATATGGAATCACATGATTTGGAGGGGATTGGAACACATGAATCACATGATTTGGAGGGGATTGGAACACCTGAATCACATGATTGGAGGGAATTGGGACACCTGAATCACATGATTGGAGGGGATTGGGACACCTGAATCACATGATTGGAGGGGATTGGGACACCTGAATCACATGATTTGGAGGGCGGGCCCAAGTACATGGAAATATCATGTATTTGATTGGCAGATGGTCAAGTCCTTTAACACTCCAGCATCTACTAAACACTGAAATACCCATTTAGGGTGGAGTGATGATCTGGGAACCTGCTAACAACCTCCCCCGCTTGTGTTGCACCACAGACCGGCTATAAATGTTCACAGGCCAGACAATATCTTTACAGGGATGACACCCTGGGGGACCCCCCCCCCCCCTTTACACGCCTCTATGGGCAGATAATTACCCCCCCCCCCAGCAGAAGTCAATCACAGGAAGCACTGCGGGCCGTCAGGCGGCAGACACACCGCAGGATCCGATCAATGGTAACGAGCGCGAATGTGTATGACACGGCTACTCATTGTATACAGCATACGTACACCTGCCGGGGGGGGGGGGGGGCAGCCAGAGGGTGAGCGGGGTGACGGGACACACAGACGCCCTCCAATAGGTCACATGGGTAGGTTAGAGGGTCTCAGCCTCGTATTAAAAAGGCGCGGCCCACCTGTAAATGCTCCAACATTCATACGATGAGGCCAGCTGAGCATTGTGACCGCCATCAATGCCTCCTGCGTCGTTCCCCCGAGCCCCAGGTCTGTGAGGGGGTACAGACCTTCTGATATGTGGCAGGAGGAAGCCCTGCCTGGACTCTCCACCATGCTTGTCCCAGCTGAGGACCGGCTTCCTGACGGGTGGACCGTGCCTGAGCATCAACATGGCTGCCTGCGGGTGTGACAACACAGGAGCACCACTGAGAGGCAGCAACAGAGCGTTGTCACCCTCTAACAGGAAGTGCCTCCATGGCAGGATCATCAGGGATTATGAAGAGGACTGAAATCACATTAACTTGAGACTTTAATGATTGTGCATAGAGTAAGTGAAGGGGAATATTTATAGAGCAGTGAATGTGACTCCCAACAAAATTCACTGGTGTGAATCAGTCAGGAGGTCAGATACTGCAGACACAGTACAGGAGACTGTCAGAGACTGCAGACATAGTACAGGAGTACCAGAGACTGCAGACATAGTACAGGAGATGACCAGAGACTGCAGACATAGTACAGGAGATGACCAGAGACTGCAGACATAGTACAGGAGATGACCAGAGACTGCGGAAGTACAGGAGATGACCAGAGACTGCGGACACAGTACAGGAGATGACCAGAGACTGCAGACACAGTACAGGAGATGACCAGAGACTGCGGACACAGTACAGGAGATGACCAGGACTGCGGACACAGTACAGGGGATGACCAGAGACTGCGGACAGTACAGGAGATGACCAGAGACTGCGGACAGTACAGGGGACCAGAGACTGTGGACACAGTACAGGAGATGGTCAGAGACTGCAGACACAGTACAGGGACAGAGACTGCGGACACAGTACAGGAGATGCGGACACAGTACAGGAGATGCAGAGACTGCGGACATAGTACAGGAGATGACCAGAGACTGCGGACACAGTACAGGAGATGACCAGAGACTGCGACACAGACATAGTACAGGAGATGACAGAGACTGCGGACACAGTACAGGAGATGACCAGAGACTGCAGACACAGTACAGGAGATGACCAGAGACTGCAGACAGAGTACAGTACAGGAGATGGTCAGAGACTGCGGACACAGTACAGGAGGATGACCAGAGACTGCGGACACAGTCAGGAGATGACCAGAGACTGCAGGAGTACAGGAGATGACCAGAGACTGCGGACACAGTACAGGAGATGACCAGAGACTGCGGACAGTACAGGAGATGACCAGAGGTCTCTGATGACCAGAGACTACACAGTACAGGAGATGACCAGGTATAGTACAGGAGATGACCAGGACTGCAGACATTACTCTGCAGACACAGTACAGGAGATGACCAGAGACTATACACAGAGACTGGGACACAGTACAGGAGATGACCAGAGACTGCGGACAGTACAGTAGACATAGTAGATACAGGATGTACAGGAGATGACCAGAGACTGCTGGGATAGACACATAGTACAGGAGATGACAGAGACTGCGGACACAGTACAGGAGATGACCAGAGACTGCTCTGTACAGACGAGACTATATACTGTATACAGGAGATGACCAGAGGGGGGGTCTCTGTAGACGGTATACAGGGATGACCAGGACTGCGGACTCTGTACAGGAGATACCAGAGACTGCGGGACACAGTATACACGGATGGGGGTCTCAGGAGATACCAGAGACTGCAGACATAGTACAGGAGATGACCAGAGACTGCTGTAGTACGGTATATATGTACACATGGACTGCGGGGTCTCAGATGTAGTACTGAGATGATACAGGATGGGGGTTCTGCTGACGGTACATACATGGATGGGGGTCTCTGTATGACGGTATATACTGTATACACGGATGGGGGTCTGTAGGGACACAGTACAGGATGACCAGAGACTGGGATGGGTCTCTGTAGACGGTATATACTGTATACACGGATGGGGGTCTCTGTAGACTGCGGACATAGTACAGGATGGGGGTATATATACTGTATACACGGATGGGGGTCTCTGTAGACGGAGATATACCAGGACTGGGACATAGTACTGTATACACGGATGGGGGTCTCTGTAGATACATATACTGTATACACTGATGGGGGTCTCTGTAGACGATGTATATACATACATGGATGGGGGTCTCTGTAGACTGGTACACAGGTATGACCAGAGGGGTACGGTATACACGGATGGGGGTCTCTGTAGATGGGTATACACGGATGGGGGGTCTCTGTAGACGGTATACACGGATGGGGGTCTCTGTAGACGGTATATACTGTATACACGGATGGGGGGGTCTCTGTAGACAGTATACACGGATGGGGGTCTCTGTAGACGGTATATACTGTATACACGGATGGGGGTCTCTGTAGACGGTATATACTGTATACACGGATGGGGGTCTCTGTAGACAGTATATACTGTATACGGATGGGGGGGTCTCTGTAGACGGTATATACTGAATACACGGATGGGGGTCTCTGTAGAGTATATACTGTATACACGGATGGGGGTCTCTGTAGACGGTATATACTGTATACACGGGATGGGGGTCTCTGTAGACGGTATACATACATGGATGGGGGTCTCTGTAGACGGTATATACGTATACACGGATGGGGGTCTCTGTAGACGGTATATACTGTATACACGGATGGGGGTCTCTGTAGACGGTATATACTGTATACACGGATGGGGGTCTCTGTAGACGGTATATACTGTATACACGGATGGGGGTCTCTGTAGATGGTATATACTGTATACACGGATGGGGGTCTCTGTAGACGGTATATACTGGATGGGGGGGGTCTCTGTAGACGGTATATACTGTATACACGGATGGGGGTCTCTGTAGACGGTATACACGGTATACACGGATGGGGGTCTCTGTAGACGGTATACACACGGATGGGGGTCTCTGTAGACGGTATATACTGTATATACACGGATGGGGGTCTCTGTAGACAGTATACACGGATGGGGGTCTCTGTAGACGTATATATACTGTATACACGGATGGGGGTCTCTGTAGACGGTATATACTGTATACACGGATGGGGGTCTCTGTAGACGGTATACACGGATGGGGGTCTCTGTAGACGGTATATACTGTATACACGGATGGGGGTCTCTGTAGACGGTATACACGGATGGGGGTCTCTGTAGACGGTATATACTGTATACACGGATGGGGGTCTCTGTAGACGGTATATACACGGATGGGGGTCTCTGTAGACGGTATATACTGTATACACGGATGGGGGTCTCTGTAGATGTATATACTGAATACATGGATGGGGGTCTCTGTAGACGGTATACATGGATGGGGGTCTCTGTAGACGGTATATACTGTATACACGGATGGGGGTCTCTGTAGACGGTATACACGGATGGGGGTCTCTGTAGACGGTATACACGGATGGGGGTCTCTGTAGACGGTATACACGGATGGGGGTCTCTGTAGACGGTATACACGGATGGGGGTCTCTGTAGACGGTATACATGGATGGGGTCTCTGTAGATGTATATACTGTATACACGGATGGGGGTCTCTGTAGACGGTATATACTGTATACACGGATGGGGGTCTCTGTAGACGGTATACACGGATGGGGGTCTCTGTAGACGGTATATACTGTATACACGGATGGGGGTCTCTGTAGACAGTATATACACGGATGGGGGTCTCTGTAGACAGTATACATGGATGGGGGTCTCTGTAGACAGTATACATGGATGGGGGGTCTCTGTAGATGTATATACTGTATACACGGATGGGGGTCTCTGTAGACGGTATACACGGATGGGGGTCTCTGTAGACGGTATACACGGATGGGGGTCTCTGTAGACGGTATATACGGTATACACGGATGGGGGTCTCTGTAGATGTATATACTGTATACACGGATGGGGGTCTCTGTAGATGTATATACTGTATACACGGATGGGGGTCTCTGTAGACGGTATACACGGATGGGGGTCTCTGTAGATGGTATACATGGATGGGGGTCTCTGTAGATGTATATACTGTATACACGGACGGTATTCTATACACGGATCTGATGGCTGTGCTGTAATGAAGACTGCAGCCCCCCATAAATAGGCCCCTCCAGGCGCGGTGGCGGTGGATCCCGCGAAGGGTTAAGCGTGGCGGGATGAGTGCCGTGTGTCAGGGAAGATGAATCTCACATACTAGGCAGGAGGACGGTAAAAAGATTAAAGTCTTATTATTATTGGGTGTGTGTGTGTGTCTGCTCCCCTCCCCCCCCCCCGACATGACAGCTCAGTCATCATCCGCAAGAAATACCGGAGCGGGACATTATGATGGTAAACTCGATAAAGCGTCAGGGGGAGCCTCGTCTCCCATCCATCACCGGAACGCCTGGAAAATTTCAGCTCGCTGCCGGCCCCGCAAATGTCTGTAATATATTTTTCCTGATGCCGCCGTTTGGATGCTTTTATGAAATAGAAATATGAGCGAGGAGAGAGCGAGCGAGGGGGCGGGCGCGGCTTCTGCTTCCCTGCAAACAATAACAACCCATCGCTGGGCCCGGGAGCTGACAATCTAAAGAGTCGGGGGGGGGGGGGGCTGGGTCAGCACAGACGAAAAAAGGTTGATGAAAAAGGTCCAATCAGTGGCTCAGATGATGTCATCCACATTTCCCCCCAGGATTCACATTGCAACACTGTAACAAGTCATAACTTCAGAGGCTGTGGCAAGGGGCTGATCTGTGTCAGGCATTTGTGTACACAGCCGACAACCGCAGGATTTACATGACTGTGTCATCTCTGAGCTGGTATCAAGAGTCCGGGGGACCCCTGGATGCCTGAACAAAGATGGCACCGCCCTTCTGGATAGTAAAGCAGATGAAATCATTGTCGGGGGGGAGGTATTTAATACCCGGAAGTGTGTGTGCGTGTAGGGGGGGGGGGGGGCAGTAAACCCCCCCGCCACACACACACTTCCGGGTATTAAATACCTCTCCTGGTGCACCCCCCCCCCCCCGACAATGATTTCATCTGCTTTACCTTCCAGAAGGGCGGTGCCATCTTTGTTCAGGCAACCAGAGGAGCTGCTACACCTGTGCAAGACTGAAGGGGAGGAGCCGGTACACCTGTGCAAGACTGAAGGGGAGGAGCCGCTACACCTGTGCAAGACTGAAGGGGAGGAGCCGCTACACCTGTACAAGACTGAAGGGGAGGAGCCAACACCTGTACAAGACTGCAGAGGAGGAGCCACTACACACTGTGCAAGACTGGGGGAGGAGCCGGTACACCTGTGCAAGACTGAAGGGAGGAGCCGCTACACCTGTGAAAGACTGAAGGGGAGGAGCCGCTACACCTGTGAAAGACTGAAGGGGAGGAGCCGGTACATCTGTGCAAGACTGAAGGGGAGGAGCTGCTACACCTGTGCAAGACTGGAAGGGAGGAGCCGGTACACCCTGTGCAAGACTGAAGGGGAGGAGCCGCTACACCTGTGCAAGACTGAAGGGGAGGAGCCGCTACACCTGTGCAAGACTGAAGGGGAGGAGCCACTACACCTGTGCAAGACTGAAGGGGAGGAGACGCTACACCTCTGCAAGACTGAAGGGGAGGAGCCGCTACACCTGTGTAAGACTGAAGGGGAGGAGCTGCTAGTACAAGACTGCAGAGGAGGAGCCGCTACACCTCTGCAAGACTGAAGGGGAGGAGCCGCTACACCTGTGGAAGACTGAAGGGGAGGAGCCGTACACCTGTGCAAGGCTGAAGGGGAGGAGCCACTACACCTGTATAAGGGAAGGGAGGAGCCGGTACACCTGTGCAAGACTGAAGGGGCGGAGCCGCTACACTTGTGCAAGACTGAAGGGGAGGAGCCGCTACACCTGTGCAAGACTGAAGGGGAGGAGCCGCTACACCTGTGCAAGACTGAAGGGGAGGAGCCGGAACACCTGTACAAGACTGCAGAGGAGGAGCCACTACACCTGTGCAAGACTGAAGGGGAGGAGCCGGTACATCTGTGCAAGACTGAAGGGGAGGAGCCGCTACACCTGTGAAAGACTGAAGGGGAGGAGCCGCTACACCTGTGAAAGACTGAAGGGGAGGAGCCGGTACATCTGTGCAAGACTGAAGGGGAGGAGCTGCTACACCTGTGCAAGACTGGAGGGGAGGAGCCGTACACCTGTGCAAGACTGAAGGGGAGGAGCCGCTACACCTGTGCAAGACTGAAGGGGAGGAGCCGCTACACCTGTGCAAGACTGAAGGGGAGGAGCCACTACACCTGTGCAAGACTGAAGGGGAGGAGACGCTACACCTCTGCAAGACTGAAGGGGAGGAGCCGCTACACCTGTGTAAGACTGAAGGGGAGGAGCTGCTACACCTGTACAAGACTGCAGAGGAGGAGCCGCTACACCTCTGCAAGACTGAAGGGGAGGAGCCGCTACACCTGTGGAAGACTGAAGGGGAGGAGCTGGTACACCTGTGCAAGGCTGAAGGGGAGGAGCCACTACACCTGTATAAGACTGAAGGGGAGGAGCCGGTACACCTGTGCAAGACTGAAGGGGCGGAGCCGCTACACTTGTGCAAGACTGAAGGGGAGGAGCCGCTACACCTGTGCAAGACCGAAGGGGAGGAGCATTTCTATTCTAACAGGTTCACTTTAACGAATGCTACTTTCCTAACCAGCACGCTGGAAAATCATTGCAATCCTAGCCCCATTCTTCCCCCAATACCCAACCCCGCCAACCGCATCCCGCAGAGCCTTCATGCGGCAAGGCCCACCATACACAAAGATGTACCGGCAGACACTGTTGCCGTCTCGACGCGGGAAGCGGAGCACTCATTAAGCCGGAGCCGCGGCTGCTGAAAAATCCTCCAGCCGGGATTGAAAAATAGACGGCCGCTCCGCGACAGACGCCTGCCGCACTTGGCGACAATGAAATTACTCCGCGCTGAAATAAACAAGTTGTGAAACCATATAAAAAAAAAAAAGAAAAGCAGACGCACATTTCCATAATAATAACCGCTTTGTGTTTCTTCGTCGCTGTATTTACAAAGAGCCAAAGTGCTCCTGACAGGGAGATGAAATGCGGCTTTTGCTGCCATATTGCGCCCGCTTCTCGCTCGCCGGATTTTAGGATGGAGTAATGCGCAATTGTCTGAAGTCGCTGGAGGACATGAGGGGGGGGGGGGGGAGCATGATGGAGAAAAGACATAAATAGCTTATTTTTGGTAGAGGAGAACTGCCACTGTTCATTGATGGGGCCACCTAATGGGGGGGCGGTACCGCTCCCAGGCCCCATCAGGTCAGCAAGGGGGCCCTTCCAATCGCTCCCCCCCTGGGCTTCTCGGAGTTGACCATCTCATCTACAGAGGAGGTGCCACTCCCAGGACTGCCCATTAGGAACATAGAGCCTGTACTCCACACCAATATCGGGCCCAAGCACCATGAGGTCAGCAAGGGGCCCTTCCAATCGCTCCCCCCCTGGTCTTCTTGGAGTTGGCACATCTACAAGGAGTGCCACTGCCAGGACTGCCCAATAGGACATAGAACCTGTACTCCACACCAATACTGGGCCCAAGCCCCATCAGGTCAACAGGGGGCCCTTCCAATCGCTTCCCCCCCCTGGGCTTCTCGGAGTTGGCCATCTCTTCTACAGAGGAGGTGCCACTGCCAGGACTGCCCAATAGGACATACAGACTGTACTACACACCAATACCAGGTCCGGGCCCCATCGGGTCAGCAAGGGGGCCCTTCCAATTGCTCCCCAATTCTTGGCTAGGCTTTTCAGATTTGGCAATTTCACCAACAAGGAGGTGCCACTTCCAGGACTGCCCATTAGGACTTAGAGACTGTACTCCACACCAATACCAGGCCCAAGCACCATGAGGTCAGCAAGGGGCCCTACCAATGGCTCCACCCCCTGGGCTTCTCAGAGTTGACCATCTCATCTACAAAGAGGTGCACTGCCAGGACTATCAATAGGATGCAGAGACTGTACTCCACACCATTAGGTCATCCCCCCCCGGCGTCTCAGGTGACAGGGGGGCTCTTCCAATCGCTCCCCAAATTTTGGCTGGGCTTTTCGGAGTTGACCATCTCAAGGAGGTGCACCAACAACAAGGATGGTACCACTCCCAGGACTGCCCATTAGGATATAGAGACTGTACTCCACACCAATACCGGGTCCCAAGCCCCATCAGGTCAGCAGGGGGCCCTTCCAATCGCTCCCCACCCCCCGGGCTTCTCGGAGTTGGCCATCTCTTCTACAGAGGAGGTGCCACTGCCAGGACTGACCATTAGGACATAGAGACTGTACTCCACACCAATACCGGGCCCAAGCCCCATCGGGACAGCAGGGTCAGCAGGGGGCCATTCAGATCTCTCCTATTGCTCCCCAAATCTTGGCTGGCCTCCTCAGAGTTGGCCATCTCGCCAACACCAAGGCGGTGCCACTGTCGGAGGGGGGTACAGACTGTACTTCCATACTGTCTCTGGGTCTGATTTGATCAGCATGGGACCTTTTTCAGTTGTTATTCCCCCCCCCCCATAACTGCCTGTCAACTGTGGCCACCAATCAAATCTGAGTGGCGGTGTCACCACTGCACGTTGGCAGGAGGGGTGGTGGCACGCAGAGTGAGGTGCTCCATGACAGCGGAGGGTTCTCCAGGATGGACAGTGAAGAAGAGCAGCATGTTTGGTGTGTAGGAGCTCCTCGGAGCAAAACATCATCAACGAGGCGGTGCCACTGCCAGGAGTGCCCATGAGGGGGGTACAGACTGTCCTCCCATACTGGGCCCGATTGGGTCTTCCAATTGCACCTCCACCCCATTCTTGGCCGGCAACTTTCCAAGTGCAACACGTCCACCTGTCACATTTGAGTGGCAGCGGTAGGAGTGGCAGGAGAGGTGGTGCCGGGGGAAGTGGATTTCCCTGGGATGGACAGTGAGGACCAGAAGGTGACCACTGATGTGACCAGATGTCTTGAAGCCACCGCAGCAGCAACAACAGTGGCACTTCCAGGACTGTCACCACGGGGGGTAGGCAGGAGAATTGGTGGCATGTAGGGTGGTTGAGGTGACAAGGCCGGTGACAGCGGAGGAGCATTAGGTGATCATCCCTGGTCATGTAAGTGCATGGGCGTTCTATGGGCGTCTCGGAGCCGACTGGAGCACAAACAGCAATATCAAAGTGTAGGTGGCACTGCCAGGCTGCCCATAGGGGTACAGGGCCTGACAGAGGTTCTCGCAGTCTCTAGTAGTCCCATGAAGCTAGTGGTTGGTCTCCAACAGTCTCCTGCTGCAGATCTCCAGGCTTCAGTCACACGTGTAGTATGTCCCCAGTCTATGACCCTCTCCGCTGGTATGTTAGTCTGACAAGCTTCTTCAGTACAAGATATATGGAATATGATGTGTGGCCTCCTGGGAGGGTCAGGGGCTTCAGATGAGGGACTCGGCACAGGGACGGTGGGAACCCCTCATAATGGGCACAGCGGGTGTACAGACCCGGGAACTCAGCACAGTTATGGTGGGAACCCCTTATAAAGGGCACATTGGGTGTACAGACCTGGGAACTCAACACAAGTGGTGGGAACCCCTCATAATGGGCCCAGCGGGTGTACAGACCCGGGAACTCAGCACAGGGACGGTGGGAACCCCTCATAATGGGCACAGCGGTGTACACACCCGGGAACTCAGCACAGGGATGGTGGGAACCCCTCATAATGGGCACAGCAGGTGTACAGACCCGGGAACTCAGCACAGGGACGGTGGGAACCCCTCATAATGGGCACAGCGGGTGTACAGACCCGGGAACTCAGCACAGGGATGGTGGGAACCCCTCATAATGGGCACAGCGGGTGTACAGACCCGGGAACTCAGCACAGGGACGGTGGGAACCCCTCATAATGGGCACAGCGGGTGTACAGACCTGGGAACTCAGCACAGGACGGTGGGAACCCCTCATAATGGGAACAGCAGGTAAAATAAGGGTGCATCCCCAGTTGCGATTGCACCGGACCCGCACTTCAGTTGGGGGTTCCTGTGATCGGCTGGAAGAGGCAGTCCTGTTGGAAGCTGCCGGCTCCCGCAGCTGATTGAGGCTACTCGCTAGCAACTGCTTATGCAGCGATCGCACACAAGCGACGGGCCCCGGACTCAGGCAGTCTTCTGCTTCTCGCAACAAATCGCAGGAACTCCCGCTGGGTTTCTCGCATGTAATTGGAGTAAATGCGAGTGTGAATGCGCCCCGTAGATGAGCACAGAGACCAGAATCGGTACACAGGGATGACAGCCGGTTCTCTGTCGGCTCGCTGTCGGCGCTCTGCCTCCGCTGATCTGATCACCTCTAGGTTAGGGGATGTGAATGAATAGAATAGACTTGCTATCCCAAATACATAAATAATCAGAGCTCTAATCAATCAAAAACCACAAGTCCCCCAATATCTACATGAGAAAATAGTCCTTCAAAAACATAAAGTCATTCAAAAAGTTTCAAACGAAAAACCTCCAAGTAGAAAACAGCTTCCAGAGTGACTTCTGAAACCAAAAACCTCCAAAAGAAAGAAAACTCACCTAGTGCATTACCTTTATCAGCTTGAATACATTCACTCCGTAACGCATGTGATTGACACAGAAACCTCTCCTGATCACTATTATATTACGTGAAAAACTGTGTCCACTTCTAGAGTGCAGATTACCCGCCTGCCAATCGCAGATAGCCGAATGACGGCTACACTGCGGCCGGACAGTTCTGGGAGGGGGTCATGTGACGTCCTTCCAGAACGCGCGCTCCTGCGCGCCCCCGGCGATTTCCGTGATCGCTGTGTCCTACAGACTCAGCTGATCACATGATGTGGTAAAAGGCCAATCACAGCAGCCTTTTACCACGTGATTAGCCGTGTCCAATGACCCGCTGATCACTGGGAAATGCAATTGCCGGTTCTCGTCTGCACTTTCCTCACGGTGTCAAAGCGTGAGGAAAGTGCTGCCCAGAACCGGCAGTTGTCAGAGCGGGGATCGGCACCGATCATCAGGGCACTGATGATCAGTGCCCTGATGATTGGTGCCCAGCAGTTCCGCCCACCTGTGCCCAGCAGTGCTACCCACCTGTGCCCATCAGTGCCACCCACCAGTGCCCATCACTGCAGCCCAGTAGTGCTGCCAGTCAGTGCCCAGTGGTTGTGCCAGTCAGTGCCCAGCAGTGATGCCAGTTAGTGCCACCCATCAGTGCCACCTATCAACGCTGCCTATCCGTGACACCTCATTAGTGCTGCCTATCAGTTCCCATCAGT